TCAACACTGCATGTTATATCGTGATGAACATTCTGTCCAACCCTTGGACATGTGGTGGTATTCAGCACAAGGTCTAGATCATGCCTTCCTCATTCTGGTGCACTAGACCCTGGTCGAGCCTTGTTGAGCCTATTACGACGCGATTAATCACTTTCTGACCTCACATGTCTCGTTACCGTCCTTACAACTCCCAGTCACTTGCTCTTCCATCTTTCCGTTTGCCTGCGTACCATGAGGACGAACACATTTTCGCGGCCTTTTATGGGCCCAACGTGCTCCGCGTCATTGATCGATAATCACTTGCTCACCTACACCACTACACCGATACACCTTCCGCGACAGTAAGAAGACCACTTGTGGGAGCAACACTGCAGCAGTCGAAGACCCTTATCTACTCGCTAATCTGACACGCGAACGTCACAAGAACTTTCAGGGTACTACCGCACCTCTCTACACACACGCACCATCTCGATCCTTAGCAATACATTCACTCCGGCTTTTCGTCATCGCTTATACTCGCAGAAGGACCTAGATTTTACAACACCAAGACTTTCGCGAATACAATCCAAAGCCCCACAATCCCGCCCACACTGCGCAACCGTCGCGATGCCTCTGAACAATGGCGCCAAAGCGGCGAACGAGCACCTGATCTTCGTTAAAAACGTCCCCGGCTACATCGAGACAGACGAATTAAAAAAGATGTACGAAAGCTACAATCCGACAAGCCTTAAGAACGTCTATCCGAATAGCAATGTTACCACCATCGTCGTCGGCTTCCGCACCAAAGCCGAAGCAGCGCGTGCTCAAGAGGAGACAGACCAGACGCGCATAGCAAACGTCATTCTCAAAGTGGAAATGTACAATCAGCGGCAGTCGGTGAGATACCTGAGGGATCAAGGGCAAGCGAGTCGGCCGCTGGGTATGGCGGAGCAGGACGAACCAGGATACTTCGACGAGCCAGCGCAAGAAGACGCGCCGGTCTTCACGCCACCGCTGGAGCCATACGTTGCGAGAGATCCCGCGGCGGCGCCACAAGGTACCACGTGGGCTGGCATTGCTGGCAATCGAGCTGCTCCGGTCAAGCACACGACCAAGCTAGAAGGAACGGACAGCCCAGCGACCGTACCATCCACACCCAACTTCACACCCCGCATGCCAATAGCTGTCCCGCAGAAGCTCCTCCCAGCCGGTCAACCGCAGCCTGGAAGCTCACCACCCCCAGCGGCCGTCTCACTGGGACACAGCACTCCCGAAGCCCTGACCATCCCGCCGGCCGTCACCGATATGAGCACCGACAGTGGCAGCGACACCACCGATGAGACCGAAGAGCGCGACAGGATGATTAGCGATATTGCGATCTGGCAAGCGACTGCACAATGGGCGACTGAGACCGGAGGTTACCAATCGCTGGGTCAAGAAGTAGAGCCTCTCGATACTACAGCGCGGATTCGGCAACGACATTGTCGGGACTGTGTGTTTTGTCAGATGCGGAATCGCTCTTAGGAGGAGGATGAAGAGCGAGAAGACAATGGTCAAGATACAGATCCTATTTCGGGGACGAGAGAGGTGCCGGCGTCTTGCGTCGGGCAGACTTTGGAGGGATGGGAGAGGGACTTGGACCTCGTATTGGGGTTGATCTGATGGACTCTTTGGACTTTTGCCAGACTAGTCGCGATAGTCGGAGAATCAGAAGGTTATGTGACCGTCTTTTTCTGGGTATGTGAGTTTAGTGATGCGTTATGGAGTAGAGGTGGTCGTCTAGGCTGGCTGTGCTCGCTGTTCTTCATGTCGCAGGTAAGCCGCGACGAGCAGTCACCTTTGATCTGTCAGAAAGATAGAATCACAAATGTTTGTTGGATGAACAAAGACGCGTCGCGCATCTGGCAGCGACGACGCGACGCATGCGCGGGTTAGCTTCATCAACGTCATCGTGGCTTCCGTTCGCGTTAGCGCACCTGCATGTGGGCAGGGGCTTCTTGCCTGCTTCGCCATCCTCAAACCATCAACCTTCATCGCTTTCATCATCAAATTCATCACAGTCACTCATCGCAACACCTGTTTTGTTACCACCCATTTACGTGTAAGCTTGTAGTCTGTTAAGCCCTACACACCCGTGCTCTACCCATGTTGCAATGCAAATGCATGCTGAATGAAATCGCTGACATGAAATTCAGGGACGTCTCACTAACCCCCACAACTAGGCGTCTCAGCCCGCTCACGCGATGTTACCGACCATAATCTCGTGCCAAAATGTCCACTAGATCATGCCAGCAGCAGGCGCCACCTGGTTCCAGTTGCAGCCCTCCGGTGGGTTCTTGAGAATCCGAGAGACTACGAACTGGTGCAAAAGGTTCACATCTTGCACATCTTGCAGGCCACGGACTCCAGAATCTAACAGGAGAAACTTCTGCCAGAGCTGCTTGTACTCGCGGACGTGCATGGGTGTCCTCTCCTTTGGCTCCATGGCTTTGAGTTTCTCACGATACTTCTCGGCCGAGCTACGGGCTAAGTCCGCATCGACGACATCACTGTAACAACGAAGTCGTGCATCAAACGCCAACTCCTTTAGGTTTGCGATAATCGTTTGTCCGATGGTCTTAGGCTTCAGTGAGCGAATCGCTGCGATTTCCTCTTCGGTCAAGGGTTCGTCATCCCAAGTCAACTCTTCAACTGGGTTGGATAGCCCGGAGACGACCGACGACGGAGCATATAGCTCAAGAGCCAGCGATGAGGTCTTTTCTATGTCGCAGCTCATGTCAACATCTCCCACAGCGTTCGGTCGGTGAGACGCGCCGATCATCCGCTTCTCATGTATTGGAGCCTCCGTAGCGCCGAGGACGGATCCGGCAGGAAGCGATGAGGATATCTGGTCACCAACCCAGCTCTTGCAGCTTTCAACTGTGGTACAGTTGATGAAGTTCTCCTCGGTTGTTGAAGCGATGGGTGCATCTTTCATGTGCTCGGGCATGCCCGCGACCGCTTTACCGCATCCTGGATCCACGGAAGCTACATCATGGGTGCCTAGCGGATGGTGATCAGCGATGGCGGGCTCCGCAGTGACAGGATTGATCGAGTCAATATCATGATGCTCTGCTTCGGAAGCCAGAGCCTTCTTGAAGTTGAGCTTCGAGCACGCCCTTACAAAGCTGATCGCGGACGCCGGTTCCAGAGCGCCGTAGATGTCCATGTCTTTAGTAGCAAGAATGGTTTTTGACTCGTCCAGGTTAATGACTGATATTTCGTTGCCTGCCTTCGGATCTCTGCACCATTGGGCTTTGACGACAGGGTGGCCATGAGCGTTCGAATTGCTAATCCCCTCTGGATACAATACTCGCAAGTACTGCTCGCGCTGAGCTGCGGTCAAGTTCGCATCGCTCGGCTTGTCTTGTCGAGTCATCCTCCTGCAGTCAAAGGTCCATGTCTCTTTGTTCACCGAGAAGACGATCCAGGGCGCGGACTTGAACAGGTGAAGACCGTCGGGGGTGGGAAGATATCTGGAATCATCGGGTCTAGCATGAGGGTTGGTGGTCTTCTCTGAGTAGAGCTCCCTGATCATCATACCGGACTTGATCTTGTTGAACTCCTCTTCCACGGCCTTCTCCTTGATCTTGGTCCAGCCCGGGACCGATTGCATCTCTTGGCGGACTGCTTTCGCGAGGGACTTTCCGTCTACTTCGGACGGTTCAGCTTGGTTGACGATCTCATCGCGTGTGGTACGACCGGCGGGGTGCCTAGCAGCAGTACTTGTAGCCGGTGGATGTACAGTGCGCCCTGGAGTCGACACCGTATAACGGCCAAGCCTCGCCGGTGCGTGGCCGTGGTTTGCTTCCGTGAAACCTACTCGACACTTAGCGCTGTCACATTCACAACAAACTCGATTACTCACGAAGCCCATCTCCTTCAACTGGCCGATTGGCTAGGTACCTTGGTCCCCTATGCGGCTGACTTCTCTTCGTTTTCTTTGCTTTAGCCATGTCGAATCGACGCGCTCTGGATTTGTCGACACAAGTAAATGATATCGGTGGCTGGCTGGAGAAAGCGTCAGCAACACGCCAACTGGGTCCTCGACTCTTTGTGCGCGGAAGACTAACAAACCGCTCAACGCGTAGTTGAGCTGAGTTGGAAGACCGATGCGGGCGGAGTGGTTTGCGACCGCTGTTGTTGACCTTTAGAGAATAGGTCGCTGAATTGGACTAGGCGTATGCATTCATTGCGTACAGAAACAATGGTCAAAGCGCATCCGACAGCAATCGCTAATATCCATAACACGTGCGACATTCTTGGCTCAGTGAAAGTTCAGGCTGAGCCTGCAGAACAAGATTGTGTTTCGAGCTTTCGACCTCCTTACACCAACATCGTGTTCAGTCTGGATTGAAACGCGGGCACATATCGTCTCGAACGGAAGCTACAAAAGACCACGCTATGGCCAAAACCTTACGTACTTGTTCAGTCTTCCCAGCCGTACTTCCCTGGATTTTGATACGATAGGAAAAGGTTCACGCATCAAGCTTACATCTAGTGTTTGTGACAACACTAGTATCTAGCGATGGAACAGTACATGCACAAAAATGACGGTTGCCGCGAAAATGCGAACTAAATTCGAGTATGAACCACGAGTGTGTGCACTGCGGATAGCTCATCTTAGCGTGAACCCTACCGGGCATCCTGAAGAGAACAAATGTTGGCACTTTCGAACGACGTAAGCAAACGCGAGTCTAGCAACTTACTCACCACGCATGTGCATCAATCTGAGCTCGTGAAGATGCCTTCCGGCGTCAACAATGAGTTCAAACCCCTTGCGTCGAAACAAAGAACCATACATGTCGTTCAAAGATGTCAACAAAGCCACTAGGCTCTCGGTGGGCCGGCCTTTGTCTCCGGATTCCGGATACACTGAATAATCCGCTGAACTTCAGCCCGATGCTTCCTTGGCCCAAGTCGCGCATTCTAGGCAGTAACGCGTTTTCGGAAATCGAACATTTTGCACTCCTGCAATTCCAATGGCCACATCAGACGGCGATCAAGTGTCGAGCACGCAGTCGAATCACCCTGAGACAGAGAACCCTCCACCGCATATTCAACATTCGGAGAGGACAGAGGAACAAAATGCCATCCCAAGAACAGTCGAACCATTGCCAGAGGGGTCGAGACTTTGGCCGGTCGCAGAGCGGGATGAAGAGTCCGCAGAAAGTTACAAAGCCGGTTCGGCTACCTTGATTGAGGTTCCTGTCGACGGCAAGCCAGTTATGGCGCTTCTGCTCTCGCACGAGTTGGGCCAACGAATGTTTAGATCTGTGGAGCTACAACTTGCATTCGGGGAGCTCGAAGATCGCTTTAAAGAGGAGATCCCAGCAATTAATGACAAAATATTTCACCTCCAGCAGATAGTCGATTCCGCAAAGTCGGGTCTAGCAGATGTCGAACGCATCAACCTTGGCTTAGTGAAGCAGCAAGACCCTAAACTTGTCGTAATGCAATCAAAGGCACGAGAGGAACTACTCAAGGATGAGGAGGAGCTATCGCTGCTCGAAAAGGAAAAAGCAGAGCTAGAGGGCAAGGTTCAGGACGCGAAAGAGGCATGGTACAAAATCGCGTGGAACATATGTGTTCACCACCATATTGGTTTCATCAAAGCAGGTTTCAAGCCAGAAGAAGGGGAAAGCGAAGATGGAGAAACATCGAGCGCGGAGTCTGAACCAGGTGAAGAAGCTAGTGGCGCAAAAGAGGCGGAAAGGAAATCTAGTCCCACGGCAGCGGAAGATGCACAGCAGCCGTTGGCTGGGAACGAAATGGCTATGGTGCTGTACACCGGTAACAGGGCAAAGCAGGATACCACAAACCGGAATGCGGACGTTCCCCAAAGCAAGCCCCCTGACCTCACCATGACTCGGTTCACAGCAGAAGATGAGATTAGACTCAAACTCTACATAGCAAAAGAAGCTTTTCGCAAAGCTGACGACGCACACGACAAACACCGAAAATGCTACGAACTTACATTCCTTAGATACTGCGCACAGAACCCGACCAAACCCGAGGGCGAACTTGCCAATCAATTTCCCCGCTTCTTCATCAAAAAGGGACAAGAACTCATAAACGCGTTACGTGTTGCGGAGAAAGCGTATCATGAGGCAGAGAAACGCGCCATGGATGTGAACGTTTTCACCATTCCTGACGAACTTATCGAAGCAAATGTTAACCCATATTTGGATATCGATGATCTGGAGGCGATGATGAAGCCATGGAATGATAAGGACCGGGCGCGCATTTACGACTGGCGTCATGGCGAGGCGGGTGTTCTCACGCCGCCGTCTATACATACGATAGATACGTTCTATGATGCGAGCTCTAGTGACGATGAAGACAGCAATGAGAGTGTTGTAAGCGCGCAAGACGTCGATGTTCAGAGAATAGAAGAACATCAACCGTCAGCACCATCCGCGAACAACAATATCGACACCATCGCAATAACACCGGCGCAAGATGAAGCCGAGCCTCGTTCCGAGGAGGATGACATTCCAGAGGGAGTAGTCGTATTGAGCAAGCCCAATGCAAGTCAGAACTCCTACTCGTCTACCGAATTAGCGTCGACAATAGATGGCGCAGCTCCAGCTTCTTCCTCTGGGGTGGAAAAGCGTAAGTTCTGGGGCCAGGTACAAGGACATGACAGCTTTAGTGTTGCCGATATGCGGAACAAACGACAAAAGATAGATAGATGGCAGCGGGATTGCGCGCGGTGGAGGGCTAGTAATTTACATTTCGAATGAGAGATACTGTCTCTCCTACTTTATGGATTTTTCTTGGGATTTTTTACACCCCATGGCTTTTGAAAGCCTGTCTTGCCCATATTAGCTCATCTAAAGTGCGTGAAGGCCATGTGCTGTCGGGTGCAATGCTGTCAGTGAGAATGAGTGCACCGGATCCGGACACGCTTTGCCTTTCTGGGTTAGTGCAGGCTCGTGATTGGACCCCGACCTTCTCTCGCAAACACACAGGAACTCATTTGCAGCCTCACCACCTCTGCGCGCCGCCCGCTGAAGTCACAGCGAGCCCACGACGCTGATTCAGTCATGCCTCTGTCCGATTTCCAGATACCCGATACCGTTGAGGGCCTGCAAGCGGCTCTTAGCAACGTCGATGAAGAGTAAGCGACCCGACATCTAATAAATGGACAACTGACTGACGTTGACTACCAGCATACACACGACCGAAGACAGGGAACACGAACAAGCCCGCTTAGCGGATGATGACTTACGGTTGCTGGGCGCGAAACGTCTTGCCATACGCACGTAAGCTATACAAGATTGGACAGACATAATCATCCATACTGACGGTTATAGACTCTTGTTGTCGAAGAGAGACCAGCAGTGTCGAGAGGCTATACAGGAGCTGCCAAACGCGGTTATGGAGAAACTACCACGTGAGCTCCGGGACATGATCTACACGGACCTTTACCGCGGAAGTCAGAACGAACGGTACGAAATTGTCGACAACAACTCCAAGCATCCCCACGACCCCTTGTACGAGTTTGCGCCTATGGTTGAAGCATATGAGCCGCCATATTGGATGCTGGAACGTGAAGTCGGCCCTGAATTCGCGCGCGAAGCCGTGGAGAATTGGTACAAGCTCGCCCATCTCTCTGTCGACATAAAGCTGCTACAACCACTCTTGCAAGACGACGATGGCGTCTTGTATGACACCTGGTCGCCTTCGGTTCGGACCTGCGATTTCCTTAGGGAACTGGACGTTTTCATCGGCCCCGCGTGGTTACCGTTGCACACAGGGGATAGTAGGCCATCGGGTCGAGCAGTACACATCCGACAAATATGTCGGTCACTCTCTACTTTGCTGGAAGACCCAAGTGTTGCACGGAAGGAGGGGTTCAAACTGCACATTGCCTTTCAATGGGATGAATCTGACGATTGGTCCGATTACCTCAAGGCAATTTGCCCAGTGGTCTACCGTTTGAAGGCCCAAGGCTTCTTAGTGTCAGGTAGCCAAGATTATGGAGAACGCATCCGACACAAGTGCTTCCAAGCTGGCTGTCCGTGCGAGTTCTTTCGATTTGGAGACATTGAATGGGAAAGTAGCCATATCGATGATTGGTTCGACTGCTCGGAGGAGGAGTGTATGAAGAGGATAGAAGAGGAGAGAGAAAGACACTGGGATGAAAATAGTCAGTGATAGGAGACAACGCACGGAAAGTGTATTTGGAGCATGAAGCCAGTCGGTAAACGGGATGGCTGGTGCTCGGGCTTTTCATCGTCACATGAACTGAAACTGATCCGCATGTAGACGCTTTGTGAGAACAATAAGTCCTAGTAAACACCTTGTTGTGCCGATCATTGTGACATCGTTGCAGCTAGCTCCCGAACAGAATGCGCGCGTGGAGTGAATTGTCGGTAATGGCGCTTCTAGGTGCGTGTATTGTGAGCTGCAGATGGACGACCAGGCGCGAGACGCTGGATGCGCGTTATGAAAAGGCAGTTATCTTCAGTAAAGCGGGCGAGGGCACGGGAAGCAAAATTCCGTTGACGCGTCCAGGAGAGAGTTGGTCACGCCCGTTCAAGATCAACATTACGGCCCTCTTATACTAGCCAATGGCGCTGCCCATCCTCTCGCAACAGGGGTATCGGCCCCCGCAATTGCCGCCCTCATCTTCGCCACCCAAACATCAACACGGGCTTGATAAGGCCTGTCGCATCCCGCGAGTCCCTGCATAATATCCTTCCTGCGGCTATATCTTTTGTTCTGCAAAGTAACAGCGAATAATCATGCCCAAGTTCTTCAAGCGCATCTTCAGCGATGCTTTGTTCCGGAGAGAGCCGGACGTCAGCGACATGCAGCGATCGCGGCGCGTGCTGGTGAGGAGCTCGGGGGGTATGCCAGAGGAACAGACGAACTGGAGAACATCGTTTTTCGATATTCAGGTTCAGGATGAGGAGCGTCGTGCGTTGAGGGATGGGGCAAGTGTAGCCGGTAGCGACATGCATGCCGCCGAACGACCTATTCTAGCACCGAGCCACGACCAAATACCAGTGCGCAAGCCGAGTCGCGCTCGGAGGAGACTGAGCAAGAAGCATCGAAGGCCTGCTTGAAGTGGTGTTGGAGGTATGTATGTTGCATGCGACGTCAAGTGCTCGATGCTGACACGTCTCTCTAGAAGGTCATCGCGGCGTCGTTACGACCACATGCTGGCATGATGGAAGTACGACAATATGGAGCTAAAAGAGGACATGTAATCTAGCACAAGCGACTTCCCCCAGCGCGATGGATTGTGCTATGATCGAAGTGGCTACAACGCTGGCCATCACCTGCGCAGCCTGGCAGGCCAGCTACGCACATCGGTGGGAGCAGTAAAAAGGCTCTCTACAGCACACGACCCTTGGATGAAACTGTCTATGTTCATCGGACACCTAGAATGTATGATATCTACTCGCAACGACAGCCTACTTAGGACAAGACGAAGGATCGATATAATCGGGCTCGTCACGTGTTTTGCCCCTCACCGAGGCTTGGCTTGTCAGCCATTCCAGCTTTACGGAATGGATATGGATTACTGAACATCAAACGTTGTCTAACTTCCGCATCTCGTCTTCGTTTCTTCAACGCTCATTACTTTCTTTTGTTGGCTCGCTATCGACACCTTTGTAGCGCTAGCTGGTATCAATTATCTTCTTGCGCCATTCGAGAATTGACCAGCCTGATAGCAACGGAAAATTTTCACTCGTCCTAGGCCACCAACTTACGTGGTATTTTCAACTAGATCTGCCTAATCCGCTGAACCTTGCGCTGGCAGAGTTTTCTGCAATTGCTATACGACTTTTCGGTGTTGAGGAGGACTTGACGAATAACTTGAAGCTCGACATACGCAGCGCTGCCTGCTCGGAGCTTTAAAGACATGCGATTATATACCTCCCTTCTCTGTCTTCTCTGCATTTCATCGCACAGCGACGCAATTGGCCAGCCGTGCAAATGTGTGAGTTGAGATTGCGCACCCGCTGAGTACGGCTGATGCATACCCCAGACACCTGGTGATGCTTGTTGGCCTACTATCAACGAATGGAGCGACCTCAACACGACACTTGACGGCGCACTTATCCGCAGCGTTCCACCGGGAGCAGTCTGTTACCCGTCGAGGCCAGAGTTCGATCGAGAAGCTTGTGACTACGTGACGTCGCAGTGGTTTAACTCGTCATATCACGCTGCGCATCCCGTCAGTATCGACTACCCTATATGGGCGAACGACTCTTGCAATCCAATCTTTCCCAACGGAACTAGCATCACCAGTAACCCACATGCTGAAGTGCAGGGATGTGATATCGGCAACTACCCCGCCTACGTAGTGAATGCCACCACTTCTTCTCAAGTCAGCATAGCTCTGGTTTGGGCAAGTGCAAGGAACATTCGCGTTGTCGTAAAGGCGACTGGACACTCATACCAAGGTCGCAGCACTGGACATGGCAGCCTAAGTATATGGACGCACCATATGCGCGGCATCGATTACGTCGCATCATTCAGTCCAGCGTCTTGCCCTTCCGAGAGTCCATTGACCGCTGTGCGTGTTTCAGCCGGCCACACGAACATTGAAGTACAAGAAGAAGTAGCTCAGCATGGCATGGCGATTGTAACAGGTGCCAACCCCAGCGTCGGGCTCATTGGATGGCTCACAGGCGGTGGTCATGGACCGCTTTCGACAAGCTACGGGATGGGGGCCGACAACTTGCTTGAGGCCACCATTGTCACACCGAATGGAGAAGTCGTCCTCGCCAACCCATGTCAGAACCAAGAATTGTTCTTCGCTATACGAGGCGGAGGTGGCGGCACATTCGGCATCATCACGGAAGTCGTCGTTCGCACCTTTACAACCCCAAGAACTACTGCGCATACCTTCCAAGTCCGGTTAAAAGACTTAGACAGAAGCACGGATTTCTATAAGTTCTTGGGATTTTTGCACGCTGAGATGCAGCGGCTGAAAGAAGGCGGCATGCAAGGGTATTACCTGGTTATAGGACCGCCTACTGTTCCCACTCTATCATTCTCCTGGACATTCTTACTTTACAACTCTCCAAGCGGAGCGGTTGAGCTGCTCATGGAACCTATTGAAGCATATCTGCAGGAGCGGAGGCAGGCTTTTGAATGGCAGTCGATATTATCGCACACGGATACGTACCTGGAGATGCACAAAGCCAATTTCACGAACGAGCAAGTCGCAAATGGTGGCTCGGCATATGGGTCGAGATTGCTCAGTGCTGAGAGTCTGGCGAACCCACACCTGACGGCGATCGTATTTTCGAAGATCGGCCCAACCGATGATGCCTTTGAGCCAAATGTAAATGACCTCAGCTCTGGTTGACATCTGTGATCTTGGCTAACATACCCATAGGGACCAGTAACTAACCCACTCCTCATCGGCCACATGATTGGTGCACCGAACGAACCAGCTTACTACCCTCTTCAAAGCAGTCTTAACCCTGCATGGCGCAAGACTCTCACACACCTTATCGTCGCATCGCCGTTCGGTGACACCGCATCCCAGGCCACCATCGATCATGTATACTCAGATATCACGCGCAGAAAAACCGAGGCACTGCGACAACTCAGCCCCGACACTGGCGCATACTTCAACGAAGGGGATAGCTATGAGCCGGAATGGCAGCAAGCGTTTTGGGGCGAGCGGTATTGGATGTTGAGGGGAGTGAAGAGGAGGGCCGATCCAAAGAACGTACTTTGGTGCCGCAGATGCGTTGGGAGTGAGGCGTTGGTGGAGACCAAGGATGGGCGGTTGTGTGAGGTGAATTCGGACGGCCACGACGAGCTCTGAGGCAGACTAGCTGTAGCATTGTGGCTTCAAGCTGTGAATATCTGGACGTATGATTAATCTGCATCTATTTTTTCATGCTCTTGTTCGCTGATCTTGAGGTGTTTCCCTCAAAGTGTTGTTCAGTTGGAGACAATCTGGACGCCGGAGATGAAGTTATTTCCGGGCCGAGATAGAGCCGCTGGTCACTTAGTCATCAATGACATTGGAACATCAAACGCGCCCCCTGTCTCCTACGCGAACGCGGTCTACAACATCGCTCAAGCAGCCGTACTGCCTGATGTTGCCATTGTCGATGCAACCCTATCAGTTCTATCTGAGCAGCTCGACACATCTTTACGTGTATATACCAGTCCGGCCCGACCCTTGACCTCGCACCGCGTCCATCCCCTCCAAAATCGACCTCCCATACTCGCGGGTCGATTGCCAGACACAACGTACACTGTCTAATCATGTGGTCCAGTTGATCATGAGTTTAGGCAAGCTAGGCATAGTGGGCAAGCTATAAACCGGATACATGGCGAGATTAGGAATCCCCTAGACTCGACGCGTCGCATAGAAAGCTTGCGCGACTGCTCCACGCGTACAATGTCAAGCTGGCAATTGGTCAGGGATATGCCTTGGTGCCTCTTCGAACAACACAGAGGCAAAGGAACCCAGGATAAGAAGCCAGCAGCACATCGCAAGCCGGTGGTTGGTCGGAGAACACCGCCTTGACGCGGAGCAAGACGGTGCCAAGACATACACACGCCCAATCTCCAACCTCTTCTGAAAAGATGGTACGTGGTTATCTTCACCGCTCGTTTATGTCCGGGTCTTCTCTTTGGAGAAACGTACGTACAGGCATATCAGGGAGATACCCTTCTGAAGACCTGCTGGTCGATGAGTCAATGTCTGCGATCATGAGTCGTGGTAGACATGATCATTCAAGGTGCTTTAGACTGCAATGGCGCAGTTTGCAATCGGGCATTGTATCCAGGTTGTCTGGGTATGTCTCGCGGTGTATGACTTCCAGCAGGCATCGTTACATCAACCTTAACCCATTGAGATTTGGTCGCTGAACACGGACTCCTCTGAGGCCTTACCCACAGACCGTCATCGTACATGAACACGCTTCTAGATTGACTCCACTCTGTTCTCCCAGCCTTCTTTCGGATCCTCGCCTCCAGTCTTTTCATCCTTTCAACGGCTATTCACGTGAAAGACCAGAACGCCCTCCGAGCTGACTAGCAACTGAGGGTGTATTGCAAACCTAGAAAGCACTGCCTCTCTCATGCACAGGCCTTGGAATTCTCCCACAGTGCTAATTACACATCACCATCATCCGACTTTTCCCGCCTTGCGGCCAACTAATAGGGCTAGCTGCACGTTACAGAAGCCCCGCGAGAGCCACTTTCTACTCGCACTCGGGTTTTCTGGATCTGATAATGTGGCGCCGTCGCTCATTGTCATGCCAGTGGCCGGTAATCGGGCTAGGTTATTTTCCTTCGCTCGCTTAGATGTTGAGCATGAAGCTAATGACGCACGCTGCTGCGCACGCAATTGACAAGTGCGGACTCTCTTCCGAACTAATGGCTCAACTACTTGCAGCATGATAGTGCTTGTTCATTTTCCTCTCCGCCGATGTTGTTGTTATTGTTTACGTCAAAGTGTTGTGGGCGCGTAGGGAAACAACGTTTCGTCAAGCGCTGGGTCGCGATGACGGCCGCAACGGGGTTGTCGCACAAAGTGTGCTATCCCTCTGGTTCCATAGGGTCTACTGCTATTTCTTTGTTGTTCTCGTTTCCTTGTTCCCCACACTTACACTGGTGGGTTTGAGCTTACCGTGCATGTCATATCGGTCCTTTTGCTACGGTTTCGTCACCGCTCATTCGGTTGAAGGACGATGCGACCAACGCACCTTACACCCCGATCGTATGGGCATATCCTTGTCATGGTAGTAACTCCTGCCAATTGGATCAATGCGGCGATTTTTGCCTTTGTTATAGGTGTAGCTTTGCGAGCATCATACTGCTTCAGCATTATGTCGCCGGCGGCCATTTATCTGATGCGGATAGGCCACTAATTTGGAGTAAGGTGCGATGTCGTAGGTCACTTTCGCCCCACATACCTAGCTTGTATGTCTCCAATTGCTGGTACCGAGTGTCATGTTCAGTGCGTGCGACGTTCGGCCGCTTTTGGTCAACCATATCAGCAGTAACTGCCGCCATCTGAAACTGAGAAATGCATGGAGGCTCGCCTGAGCATACCCCTCTTTCTGCGTCATCAGGCAAAGGT